AAACGAGGAGGGAAAAACTGGATCCTAGTTAACTAAAGGGTCAATATGGGTGCAAAACAAAAACAGCAATATTACATTGCATTACAGCAACATCTAGGAGTGGCCTTGAAAAATAGTAGAGAAGGAAAATCTTCCCAGTGGGAGGAATCATTCCCTTTGTAAAGAAAGAGAAATGTCCTTAGGTGAGAAGACAGGTAATCACTGAACTAGCACATGGACTCTCCAGTTCATAGTAAATAGTGTTCAGCAGTTGGCCTAAACCAAGGAATTCACTGGCCATATGATACACCACATATCTTAGTCCATTTTCTTGTCACTATAATAAAGTGATTGAGAACCAAAAATTTATATATATATATAGTGTGTGTGTGTATGTGTATATATGTGTGTGTGTATGTGTGTGTGTGTGTGTATGTGTGTGTGTATATATATGACTCTGGAGGCTGGGAAATCCAAGAGCATGGTGTTGGCTTCTATTCAGCCCTTGGTGAGGGCCTTCCTGCTACATCATGTCATGACAGAAGACATCACACAGCAAGACAGAGCAACATGCTAGCTTGCATCTCTCTTCCTCTTCTTATAAAACCACTAATGCCATTAGAGGGACCTCACCCTCATGAACTCATTTAATCTGAATAAATTCCTAAAGGATTCCTCTCCAAATGCCATTAGCATACGAATTTTGGTAATAAGTTTCTAACACATGAATTGGGGGGGGTACACATTCAAAACACAGCATCAGGCCATCTAGGAACAGCCAATCTCACAGAATAGTGGAATGGTCTAATGAAAGCACAACTGAAGAGATAACTAGCAGACAATATTTGACAAAGATGGCCTTGAGGATACAGTATATGCTCTAAAGGAGAGCCCTCTATATGGCTCCCTCTATATGGCTCTAGTAAGTCCCTCAATGGGAAGAATAAATAAGTATAGCAACCAAGAAGTAAAAGCAGGAGTGTCCTCACCATCAATCCCAATGACCCACTGGGGGACTTTTTCCTTTCTATCCCCACAACTCTCAGTTTTGCAGGATTAGTTTCTGACCCCTGAAAATGATATATTCTTGCTAGGGAACACAGCAAGTATCCCATTGAACTACAAACTACAGGTGCCTTGGGACATTTTGTATTCCTTGTGTTCAGAGACCAATAGGTAAGAAGAGACATCACCAAGTTGGTAGATGTAAATTGACTCCAATTAGCAGAAGGCAGTGCTGCTTTTGCACAATGGAGACAGAGAAGAGTATATATGGAACTTGGGTGATCCACATGTATCACCCATCCTAATGCTCCCTTGATCAATTATAACTATGCATGGACACATACAATACTGGCCTGAGAATCTTGAACCCCTCAGGAATGAAGGTAAGTAACAAACACCGGTAGATATTATAGCTGTGGATGAGTAGGATTTAAAATAGATAGTCAAGAAGGGAAATAGAGGTCTAGTTATAACCAGCTAACGCCATGGGGACTGAAGTTTATCTCATGGATATCCTTCAGGAAGAGAAGCCAAGAACCATAAAGGAGCTCTCTCCTAAAGCTATGCAAAGAAGCACATCTCTCTAGCACAAGGAGTGGTCAGTGGTGGTCAGGGACATCAGTGGCTCAGCAAACTTTCCAGAACACACCTGTCTGTAGAAGCAGAGTTGATGGACAGCCTATTCCTGCCAAATCTTTGAATCTGCAGCACTCATGCTAAGTTCACACTTGCCTTGGGCTGCTCCAACCAATGCCTAGGCACACTGTGGGCACACTGGTGCCCACTAGCACTGGGCAGCCAGTGCAGGACTGCCTTAACTGCATTTCCTTAGTCACTACCCATTAACCTAGTTGAGACTTTCTAACAACTATGCTTGGGTCTGGAGTTCTTCCTAAATTAATCCTTCTTTCTCACACACTTCCTAAATTTGCATCATTGGGGCTGGTGATGTGGCTCAGTGGTAGAGCACTTGCCTAGCATTCCTGAAGCTCTGGGTTCAATCACAGTCCTTTTTAAAAAAAAAACAAAACAAAACTTGTGTCATGGTCTAAAGTCTAAAGACATCCCCTCCCCCATCTTACTACTGTTCCCTCTTATCCCTCACAGGCACAGGCATTTCTCCCAATAAATCTTTTGCACACTCAATCCCATTTTGGTTCCTGTTCCTTGGAGGATAAGAACTGATGCGGTTAGTACCAGGAGAGATCCTGACTAGAGTGTGGGGCACATACTATCATTTGCACAAAGTGGGACCCAAATGCTAAAGATTTCACCAGAGGTGACCTGGGAAAACTAAATGGCTAAGAGAAACACTCTGGCTCATGCAATGATTCAGGCATATTAAAAATATGGGGGAACCAAGCTCTAAGGGTAGGAAAACGGTATAATGTAAAAAGGAGCAATTCACCAGGGAGAGGTAACAATGCCAAATTTGAGTACACCAGCAGCAGAATCTCAATATATAGAAGAGAAAAAATTGGTAGAATTGTGAAGAGATGTTGGTTAAGCCACGTAGAGGGAGATGGACACCTGTCTTTCATTAGTGGTAACAGAAACCGTTAAAGGCTAACAGTTGTTGAATATTTATGACATACAGATGTTAGTCTCACTACTTTTATATTTTAATTCATTTATTCTTCATTATAACACCGTGAAGTGGTATTATTGTTACTGAGGCCAGAAGAGTTAAGAAAATAGCCTCAAGTTAACCAGCAGAAGTAACAATCATGATGTAAACCTATACAGCCTGACTGAATCTCCCTTATTTTCTTTCTACTCAGCTATTCATGTAGAAAGATGTTTATCTTATTTTATCCAAAACTTCTAGTGATCATACAACATGTTTTTGGCTATTTTGTCCTACCTATGCTGGAAATAGAAATTCTAATAACTTATTTAAATTTTTCTTTTTTATTATCAAAAATGGGCCACTGCTTTGTGAGTCAGGTATTTCAAGTTATAGCCTTAAATCTTTTTGTATTACTTTGTTCAATGAATAAAACAGGATCCACACCCATTCTCAAAAGGGCTGGTCTCAGTGGAAGCCACAATAATCAAATAAAATAAAACACTTGAAAATTTTAACAACAAAGATATGTGAGACAAAGGACCTACACATAGCAGCAAGTAACCAACTCTTCTCTGGAGGGTAGCCCAAAAGGCATGCCAAAGATGAAATTATATTTACCCAAAATAAAAACAATTCTTACCTAATTGTAAAACTTGCATTGCAATCATTTTTCTCAATTGAAAAATGAATAATACAAAAGTAAAGGGAAAAAAAAAGTAGAAAAAGCAACCTAATTCCTATAATCCAGAAATATCCATTTACCTTTTATGGGAGTGCATACCAGTCAGAGTAAGAACTCTGGGAATGGCTAGTAATGCCTTGCCTGAGCACAGAGATTGAGATCGCATGTATGAATAAAATACATTTTATGTATCTTTACTAAATATACACACATATGACAGTGATACATATGTGCCATTCTGACCCCTAAGTCTATATATACACGGTTTTATATAACTTGTTTTGTGATATGCTGTTAAACTCTTTTTTCCTGATTTTGGTTCACTTTTTATTAATCAGTCTTGCCAGAGGTTTGTCTATTTTATCCATATTTTCAAGGAACCAACTCAAAAACATACATTAGGAAATTTAAAGTACACTAAATAATATGTGAGTCAAAGATATAGTCATTTTGGAAATCAGAAAATAACTGAAACTAAATTACAAAAATAAGTAGTTCCAAAAATACTTGTGGGATGTAGCCAAATAAGTGATTAAAGGGATACAATATCTCAAAATTCATGAGTATGCATTTGATTCAAGAAATTAGAAAACAGGCAAATGAGTAAACCCAAAGAAAGCAGAAGGAAATAAACAGAAATTAATCAAAGAAAATAATCAGGTTCAGTCAGCAAAAAAGGACCAAAAGTTGTTTCTTTCAAAGTGTGAACAAAATAGACAAATCTATGGCAAGATTAAAGAGGGTGGAAGAGGACAGATATCAGGAATGAAATTACTCATCTACAGATATAATCACAAGTTTTATAAAATCATGATTAATATGAACCTTGGGCAAAATGGGCAGCTTCCCCAAAAATAAAACAAAACAAAACAAAACAAAACAACCCTTGTAACTAAATCTAAGTCAAGAAGAAATGGTAAACTGAGAGGTCTATAACCACTAAAGACATTGAGAGAGGAGTTTAAAAATCAAGTTTAGAACAGTTGTTGGCCCTCTAGTAACCCAATCACTTTCCCTCTTGGGGTAGGGAATGCCACAGTATCCTCTTGCACTCTATCAGGGGTTGGAGAAGTTCCAAACATTGTATCTCCACCCAGCTAAGGGAACTGAACTTCAGGAACACAATTAAAATGACTCAGAGGTGAAACTGCTCAGCGACAGGCCAATCCTTCAAACCAATCCATATACTCAGGGTATTGATTTAAGAATGTTTTAAATACTGGAATGTCGCCATTCCTCCTCAACAAGTGGGGACAGCCACTGGTTTCCAAACAGATTTGAAACAGTAAATATCACTGGCTATGTAACAAAGCTGCTTCGAGGAGACACAAAATGAATCTTTTACAGAACTTGGGGCCCATTTAAGTCTGATGTCTAAATAAAAAAAAAAAAAAAAAAAAAAAAAAAAAGTGATTTAAAAGTTTGCAAGACTACAACAGGCAAGTAAAGACCCCGGGATGCATTCAGAACAAAAGTGTTATGGGAGTGGGTTTAAATTGTAACAGCGTCCGTGGGCCAGAGTGTTCACAACACTAATGTTATCTGGAAAAATACCCGCAGCCTTTCAGTTCAGCTTCTGTTATGGGGCTAACTGGCTGCGCGCCTCTTTCACTCCGAGTCTCTGAACCCATCCGCGGGCTGGAAGCCACAGTGCCGCCTTCTTCCTGGCAGAGCCTTGGGCCGCCACCCTCCAGGATTCTGGCAGCGTCCCCAGAGTGCCTGCAGCCCTCCCAGCGCTCCAGCAGCGCCCCAGCAGGGACCCACCTCCTCGGCGTCCTGGCCCAGTGGGATGCCCAAGCTCTTGAGCCCCTGCTGCAGCTCAATGATGTCCACAACGCCGTCCCCATTGCGGTCCAGTGTCTGGAAGAGGGTCTCGTAGCGCGTTGGCGGCTCCGCGTCCTGGCAAGCCGCCGCGGGCAGCACAAAGCTCCTCAGCCAGCGCAGCATGGTCCCGGAGGCGTGAGGCGGCCCAGCTCAGGAAAATCACTGGAGGTGGAGGCTGAGGGCCGCTCGAGTGCGACCAGGACCCGCGCGAGGCCTGGCTGGGAGGGGCCCGCGGACGAACAGCCTTAGGGGCGTCGTCGGAGGCGAGGCTTCGGCTTGGCACGCAGGGCGCAGGAACCCAAAGGCTGCCCGAGAAGGCTCGACGTGCAGGGTGTGGCCGGCCAGCTGCTGCTTCGGGAGGAGCTCCCCTAGCGCGGGCCTCCCCGAGAGGCGTCCGGGGCTGGGCTGGGCTGGGCAGGCTGCAGGCAGGAAGTGAAGTGCTGCAGTGTGGGGCGGTTGGGGGAAAGGTGTCCTGCTGTGTCCGGAGTCCAGCTGTAAGGGAGGGAGTCCCAGAAAGTTACGGGCTTTATCGTTACCGTATTAATGGCTTGCCAGTAGCTGGCTTGAAGTACGGGTAGCTTATTTTAAAGGTCCCCCTCCGACTTGGAGCATTGACCAACAATTGCCCAAAGGTGGCTCTCTGCCTGGAAAATGGGCCATGTCGGGCTCATCTCACATGGATCTCTAACTTGTAGGGGTAACTCCACAGACATCACACACCTCGCGGCTTATCTTCCATTCACAAAAACAACAGAGCGGCTGAGTGCATAACCCGGAAATCTGCTTTAGGAAGCAGAAGAATGAAATCCAAAAACATTTTTTAAAAAGCACATGGAAAGAAGGAAAGAAGAAAGGGGAGGGAGCAGGCGGGCAGGAGCCTTTTACAGAAAAAAAGCAGCTTCCATCCTTTTTTTTTTTTTAACAGAAAAAAAGCAGCATCCATCCATTCAGCTGTGGTGAAATGAGTGGCTGCTTTAGTAAATAGCCTGGTAACCAAGTAACCATGAGTGACCTGCCTGTGATAAAGCACTTGCAGAGGCTGCCCTGAGACTGTATCAGAAAACCTCAGACCCCTCCCTCCCAAGATGGGTGAGGTTCTGAGGTTTGGCATTTACTACCCAGGTGAGTCACAACTTCCTACTACATAAAATGGGATAATATTAGAAATGCTGGATTTATGAAGACAATACCAGAGTCGTAGTCCTTTAGCTGTATGAACTGGGAGATGTGGCATAGTTTCTCTGAGTGGCCTCTCATCAGGAAAATGAATATGAAAAACTAACTCACAACAACACATTGTATATTTTAAGTGAAACATCTTATACTCTAAAGCACCAATAGTGACATGCCCTTAATGGTAATAATTCTCCAATCACATATGCTTAATAGAAACTGGCTGTATCCTCTTGTCTGCAGGAGTGAAAACAATCTTTACTTGTCAAAATCCAGTTATTCCACAAAAGTCAGGAAAGCAGACTCTGAGTTTAACTCCCCTCATACCATTTCTTATGTTAAAGACATACTCTACTTGAATCTAGCATTTGTAGTTAAGGACTGCCTGAAAACAGTTTATCTGTTTATGTTGTCTCCAAACATCCTGAAAACAGTTTATCTGTTTATGTTGCCTCCAACTTGTATTGAGGATGACTCAGGGAGGCTTATTGTCAGAAAAGTGAGTCACAAATATGCAAAACATTTAGCTACAATAAACCTGTAGCATTGGATTGAAATTAGTGATATCAGTATGAGTTCATGGTTTTAAGTATTTTCAGATATAAAAATATGAAGTTAGGTGTGTGTATGTACACACACCAGCTCTGTCCACTGACAGGATCTAGGAGTAGCAAATCCGGAACACTGAACACATTTAGCACCAGACTGCTCTTTCTAAATACTTTACTCCAAAAGGAACTAGAGCACTTAGGAAAAATAACTGATTCTAGAATAGGGGTAACAAAGGTAGCGATAAGACTGGAACATCTTGTTTTACCAGAATGTCAGTGCTTACAGAACAGAGATGTGTTAAAAGAACACAGGGTCAGCTTAAAGGGGCTCTCAATGGCCAAATCTGCTACAATTTGGGCATCAAAATAAATGATGTTAGCAGATTATATCCCATTAAATAAAACAGGTATCCATTAGTCCACATAACGATCATACAAATGAGAAAATTCTTTTCAATGATAGAACACCAACCAATAAATATTGATGGAATGATAAAAGTAGAATGTCACTCATGATAACAATGATTAATACAGGGGAGAAATATCAATAACACCATTGGATGAAAGGTAGATGGGAAATGTGATATTTATCTTGTTTCAAACTATTTCCTGACAAAATATTACAAATGGAAAATGAATAAATTTTGGTGGAGAAACCTAACAACATTACTTATCAAAATTATCAGTTAATGTCATTAGTGAAAGACATATCGAGATCATGGACCACCTGGTAAGATGAAAAGAGAACACAGCATCACTTCTGTGATGCTTCCAACAGAATGCTTAATCTGAGTCCAATCCTAAGAACAAATAAGCCAAAATTGGGGATATGCTTCAAAATAATCAGCCTGTAACCGTAACGTATGTAAAGATAATGAAGATCAAGACATTACTGAGAAACTATTTTGAGTTGAAGGAGACTAAAGAAATATAACAAGGAAGCACAATATCCAAAGGATAGAATTTAGACAGTAGTTAACACTTAGATGGAACCTTCCAGGCTTATGGGCTTCATTGAATTGTGTTTGCAACTTTTTGGAGGTTCACTTTTTAAATAAATAAATCTTGACACCTTTACAAAGCCTTTCCTATCTTCCTCAGATGAGCTCCTTGGGTACCCGCAATACATTTTCCCTTTCATGAGCAAACTAAATAAAACTGGCTCTTCCATAATCAAAACAACAAAAAACCCAAATTTTATAATACTTTATTTCATTCAATCATCAATACAATATAGTAAAAGTGGTCCAAGTGATGCTGGCCAGAAAGAACAATAGCCACTGCTTCCCAGCCTCATGGCCAGAAATGAAGTCACAGCAGATAACTTATCTCCCTGCATTCCCTCCTCTGTGGAGTTTTCGACAATGCTGGCAGCATCATGGAGGAGAGGTAAGGATTTAGCTAAGAAGCTGGCATTGAGAGGGTGGCAAAGAGTGAGTGAAATCAATAGTTGTTTCATACCCACAAAGGTCTGTTGGGGAAAAGGAAATAGCATAGTGGGGCAGGGCACATGACCCACCCTTAGCATGAGAGGACCACAGGGTAACACTAATAGTATCAGGTTCAAAATGTCTCTGTATAATAGCTTCATGAATCTTCTACCACACATGAAGGGTAAAACAAATTCCCGAATACTCAGATTTCTTCCTGTGTGTGTAGAAAATGTTTCATACTTGATAGACAAGGTACAATGTATACAATGGGCACTGAGTATAACCAGTGTATTTTTTTTACCTAACCATGGGATATATTTCACTGAAAAAGTTCATAAAGATTCCAAACACATTCAACTTTTATTTTTACAACATCCTAAACTATGAGAAAACTTGATTTATTCTAATGGTTAGGTGGTATTAGGTGTTAACACCTCCTTTATGAGAAAGGGGGTGTTTTCAACACTTAAACCATGATTTTTGGTCCTTATTCAGAGACAAGTTCAATTTTGTTTAATATCCAGTTCTTGTCATATTTGTTTCCCTGTTTCTTAGAGGACAGCAGATTCACAGCAGAAAAGTCCAATTGATAGCTAGGGAGTGGTTAACCTTGTCTGAGCCAGAAACAAAGACAGAAGTGACTAGGGAGTGGAAAAACTAAAGTTCAAACTAGAATTTTTTAAAGATATTTTATTTACATTTTAGTTTTCGGCAGACACAACATCTTTGTTTGTATGTGATGCTGAGGATGGAACCCGGGCCATACCCATGCCAGGCAACCGTGCTACTGCTTGAGCCACATCCCCAGCCCCTCAAACTAGAATTTTATTATAGCACAGGACAATAATAAATGTCAAAACAAACAAAAAGAAAGCATGGCACCTAAAGAAGGCTATTACCCACATTCTTTGCTTGACAACACAGGAAAATACATTAACTTAATATGTCATACAGAATTATTTAAAGGACAGAGAAACTACAGTTACATTAATATGTTTTACTCCCCACAATCATACTAGATATATAAAGTATTACTAGAAGTAAAGAGATACAAACATTGTAGCATTAGATACCATAATATAATAATGATGACCACAGTTCTAAGAACAGGGTTATAATTAAAATGGAACTAAACAGACTAGTTGTGACAAGAGGTTCTGTGAGAAACTCTTCTGTGCTTTACAAAATATAAAGCAGATGTGAATACATATTTCTTCCTACACACTTTGTTCATTCAACTATTAAATATTTATTGGGGACTTCCTAAGGGCCATACACAGTCTTCCATATAAGAGAGACAGTGGTGAAGGAAAACAACTAAGGCATTGTCCTCATGGAGCAGGAAGACAGGGAATAACTGAATCATACCTAAAATGTTCTATAGCCACAAGAAAAAAATTGGGGTGGGGGGGATTTAACCCAGGGGTACTTTACCACTGCACCACATACCAACCTTTAACATTTTTTTTTTAATTTTGAGACAGGCTCTAAGTTGCTTAAGGTCTCACTAAATTGCTGAGTCTGGCCTCCAACTTGTGATGCTCCTGCCTCAGCTTCCCAAACCACTGAAATTACAGGCATGTGCCACTGTACCTGGCTACAAGAAATTTTATGTCCAATAAAACTAAGGACCTATAAACTATAAAACTTATTCCCCAACATTCATTTTACACTGTGCAGAAAGAAATTTCCAATGCACATTTCTTACTTTTTCATATTTCTTATTTCATGTTTTTCATTTAATATTTTTAAATTTCTTAGTTTTTTCATATTTCTTGTTTAAAGAGTTATCACTTATTTTAAAAATATGACTTTTAGGTCTTTAATGTATTTCATTTCATGTCTTGTATATACATGCTGAAAAACTGAAATGTTTCGAGTCCTTTAAAGTTTGATTTATCTTTGTAGTATCTTCAAACTCATTGAACTACTTGTATATTTGTAGTAAATAGATGTGTGCTTGTATATTTTTAATAAGTTTCAAATTGAAAACAATTCAATTTGACTTTTCAAAGTGTTGCTTTGTATCTGAAGGCAAAGCAGTCTAATAGAAAATGGACATACTGCAATGTTGCTAGCATCTCAGTAGATGGCGCCTTTATTAAAGTTGAAGAATGGCTTTTGGATAAATGTAGAAACTGAGGGAGTGCATGCAGATGGGATAAGAGGAAAGAAGGATGATAGGTGGATCTTTATTTTTTTAGTCATCCACACTAATAGTTATAGATCTTTAAAATACACTAACAAATGATAAAGAGCCAAAATATGATTTTAAAACCTGAACATTACATTTTTTTTAAATATTCTGCCCAAATTCACTTGCTGTGTACTCTAGCATACTACAATGAATCAATGGAAGAAATGTAATATATTAATCTTTCAAAAATATGTGACATAATTCCAAACTATCACATCAGCATCCATCCACCAATAACAAAGTTAAAGGTTCATAATGAATCTGGGCTTTTATAATCCTTGTAAATGATTTCTCAGTGACTCCTTCATCCATTTAAGCCCTGAAGCATATAATGTAACTTTATGCTGCAAAAAAGGGACATGGATAAAGTAATTACTTTGTTTTTTAACTGTACTAAAATGTACATAACCTAAAATTTCCCATCTTAACCATCTTTAAGTGTTTGGTTTGGTGGCATTACGTACATTTACATTACTGTGCAAACCATCTCCAGAATTCTTCACCTTGCAAAACTCAAACTCTGTGCCCATTAAATACTAATCCCCCACCCCTCCCTTCCCCCATTGTTTGGCAACCACCACTCTACTCTCTATTGATTGTGATAGGTACCTCATACAAGTGAATCATACATTATGTGTCCTTTTGTAACTAGTTTATTTCACTTAGCATTAATATCCTCAAAGTTCATCCATATTGTAACATGTATCCATTTCTTACCTTTTTAAAGATGAACAAAGTTCATTTATATACATACCACAGCTTGTGTATCCATTCATCTATAAATGAATATATGGGATGCTTCTACCTTTTAGTTACTGTGAATTAATGTAGATATGAACATGAATGAACAATGAATCAATGAATCTCAAAGGATCTTTGAGATCCTTTGAGTTTTTGGGGGAATATACCTAGAAGTGAAATTGCTGGATCATAAGGTAATTCTATTTTTTAGTTTTTGAGTAACTGCCATACTGTTTTCCATAGCATTTGTACCAAGGTTCCAATTTCTCCACATCCTCACTAATACTTGCTATTTTTTGTTTGTTTATTTTTGATAGCAGCTATTATAGTTTTGAGACTTTTGTTTGCATTTTCCTAATGAGAGTGCTGTGTAACAACTTTTTTTGTGTGTGCTTTTTGGACATTTATATATCTTCTTTGAAAACATATCAAGACCTTGGTCCATTTTTTAAATTCTTTTTCTTATATTGTTGAATTGTTGTTCTTTGTATATTCTGAAAATTAACTCATCATACATATTTTCTTCCATTCCATGGGTTGCCTTCTCATTCTGTTGTGATTTTAATGCACACACAGAAGTTTTTCTATGTTGATATAGTACAATTTATCTGTTTTTTTTCCTTTGGGTGCCTAAAGTGAGTTGTGTAAGCCTTGAAACCTTCTGTTGTCAAAATGTGCCATTTTAAAAGTTATTTAGTCCTGGTTCTTCTACATTACTGTTGTTACTAATTAGTCATCCCTGTTAATGTCTATGCATTTTCAAATGTCTTCTACATGTTGGCTTTGTAGAAGTCATTATGCATATATATAGTAAACTTATAGTCATACAATATTACTAATTTTATATTACATTTTAAAAATATTTTAGTTGTAGATGGACACAATATCTTTGTGTATATATATATATATTACACACATATGTGTGTATATATATATATATATATATTTAATGTGGTGCTGAAAATCAAATCGAGTGCCTCACAAATGCGAGGCAAGCCCTCCACTAAGTCCCAGCCCAGTCCTATATTATATATTTTATTTTCAAATAAACCTTTCAAGTAATTTTAGTAGGCTATAAAAAGAAGTTGTTTCACAAGGCCAAATACCAGAAACTCAGTATGAGTGAGTTTGTGCAGAAAGTAAAGGACTTGTAGCTGGGACTTAGGAAAAATAAGAACCATGAACTGGAACCTTCTCAAGAATCTTTATCTTATATCTCTGTTTCTTCTGTATTCCTGCTTCCATACTGTCCCACAGTGCAGATCCTTTTTATTCACATACTTGGAACAGCTCTCAGTTTTATATTTTAGAACCTCAATCACAAGAGAAAGCTGAGTCTTTCTTAACACTGTCTCTGATACCAAGTTCTCCAAATCCTTATGAAAAACTCATTGACCTATGCCGGGTTTCTGTTCTCACGACTAAAAGCTCAGGGGTCACTCAAGTTGGACTGGGCTGACTGGGCCAACTGGGCTACGCAAAATAACCACACAAGAGACACAAATACCTTTTTCTTTGGGGTCACTGTGATGGCTCCTCTAACCTTAAGGGTCTGCAGGGAGAGAGAGAGAGAGAGGGAGAGAGAGAGA